TACATACAATTGACAAAACAAATTGTCTTCAACAATGAGTTTTCTGGTCGTCGTTCAAAACACAACAGATAACCAGTTGTCCAAACAGCCACCAGAACAAGTCTTTCAACAATAGTTCTTACAATATCAAGACAAATTGTCCCAACAATTGAGATTCTTCTTCTTCTCAAACACAACAGAAACATCTGAAACAGCTATCTTACAACCAGCACCCAGAACAAGTTTATCACATAGTTCTACAAGTATGTTAAAACAAGAGACCCACAATTTTCAAGATTTTTTATAATCTTTTTGAAACACTTGAACAATATTCGAAGAAACACGACGGAAACACAAAGCGACGACTGAGACCTCTCGCTACCCGAATTCCATGTCAAAGAAAATATACCCATGAAGACTGAATATTTGTTTGTATAAACTTCTTAACAATGGAGATCGAAGCTGACAACTCAGATATATAGTGAATATTTTAACAAAGTCATAGAATCTGTTAAACCAATTGAAAACGACATAAAAAATCCCGGGTTCTTGTAGACCTTTTCGCCTCAAAATTACCAGGTTACAACCAATCTAATAGCAAACAAGCTCATAGAGCAAAATTTATTTTTATTGTTTTCCCAAGCAATATAGACATACACCTGAGGGGAACAAGCATAGGAAAATTTCAATCGTAATTCCACAACATACAACTATTACGAAGAAGCAAATGAATATGGAGAACTCTCATTCCATTTCACACTTTCAGTATCCTGAGGGAAAGAAAAAGCAATCTATCGATGTACAATCTCTGAGGATGTGAGGAAAACCTTCACATCATAACTACTGTTGCAATTGACAAAAACCTGCAAGAGTCGAAGACGATGTTTGTTCGCGCCATTGCTTGGTTTTGCATGGAGAACCAATTCCAATTCCCATTTCACAGAATTACTCAGCACAACATTTTCAAAAATGTAGAATTCGTTTTCTACGACCATCCAAAAGTTTCCTGCTAACAAAAACCAAAGAAACAATTTGTCTCAATGATTTGTTGCTGGTCATGTGGCTGACAAAGAGCCATCAGAAATGACTATGAAAAGAGGAGGAGCGAAGAAGAAAACGGATAGCGCATGTCGTTCTTATCGAATAAAAACTTTAATTCTTACTATATAATTTTTTAGTCTCCTCTAGTTTTTTAGGGCTAGAAGGGGGCGCAAAGCCCCCTGGAAAGCCCCACTACCTTTTTTTTTTTTTTTTTTTTTTTTTTTTTTATACTCCATATTTAAATTATATACCACGTTGGCTAATCAGATTTTTTTTATTTGAATTTACACTTTTGTATGGTCGAAGTTCACAATTTTTATAATCAGTAAATTAAAAGCTTCATCAGATAGAAACAGAGACCCATAAGAGATTAAAATTGAGATCTTCTAAAGGGGGTTAAATTGAATCCAAGTCTCTCAAATTCAATCATAGTGGCTCAATTTATTTTGAAGCAAACAAAAAGAATATTAATGGTAATCATATTTTATTTATATTTCACCAAAATAAAATAAAAATTCGTTTTTCCTATTCAATTTTTCAATGGGCAAGATGGCCGAGCTCCAAAATCATGGAACAAAAGTTCGTTCTATTGCATTTAACTGCAATTATTAGACTTGTTAAAGAATGATAGTTCGATCCATCATGAAATTTAGCTATAAATCGACAAAAATTTGCAATTTATTTAAATTTTTAATCAATTACTCACAATTAAAGCAAAAATCCAAGTTTATTTGCTTTACCTCACAAAGCCATTATTACCATTATATTAAAAATACATTTTTTGCAAAAATAAGTAGATAATAAAAATTCTTTACGAATAAACAATTAAAAATTATAAATATAGTTACCGTGACAAAAAATTGATTGAGGACTTGCATATTTTTGAGATAGCAATCATAGTCCCTTAAGGGTGCACCTGTATGTACGTTTATTTGAGAGGAGGAGGATTACCCTCTCAATTTTGAGGGATTCGTTAGTTTATTTTCTCGATGAATATGCAATAAAATTTGATTTTTACCTTATCAATATACTTCATATAATATACACATGTTCATGTAAAAACTTTTTTCCAAAATCCTCAGGAATTAAGGGATTTTTGAATTTTAAGAATTTTTTTCGAATTTTTTCGAAAAAAAAATATTTCAGAACAGCCTTAACGGCTAAGATTTAGGAACAATGTTAAGTATCAAAAAGAAAGGAGGTCTGATATAGACAACATATATCGTTGAAGGTTGAAAAAATCTCTAATATTTGAGCCCAAAATTTCAAATTTTAATTTTTTGAAAAAAGAGGCCACCCGTATGTACGTTTATTTGAGAGGAGGATTATATTTTTGAAAGGGTGAAACATTAAAAAAAAAAAAAAAAAAAAAAAAAAAGGTAGTGGGGCTTCCAGGCACTTCGTGCCCTCTAGCCCCTAAGAAACTAGAGGAGGAATGAGACAAAGACCAGATGAAAAAAATAAAATATTATAATAAAATTAAATTTTTAGTCTTAAATTGTTTTTTTATTCGGTATATTCTGAATCTTGAATGTCTTGGAAATTTTCTTCTTCTTCGCTCTCTGAGGTGAGGATTTCTTCGACTTCTTCTTCTTCGCCATTGGGATCAACAAATCCTGCAATGAAAACTTTGTATATACCTTCTTGAGGAGTCTCTATGATGAAAGTCGTATTGTTGAGGAAATGGAACTCGACATCTTGAACAAATTGGCAACTGCTGTGTGTGAATTTTGCAATTGTGAGAGGCTTTCCTTTATAGCCCTTGGGAAAGCTTGAGATAGTTACTGTTCCTCCATATGGAACTCTGGCAGGAATATCTAAAGCAACAGTTGTTATAACGTGGAAATTGTCTACGAATTGAGGCATAGGTTCAATGCAGTATAGTCGTTTTGACTGGTTGTCTTTTGTGTAGAAATATAAATAGAATGACCTTTCACCATGTTCATTCAATTCTTCCAAATAATTGTATGAATTTGGATATAAACGGACAAATTCAGCAACTTTAACTTCTTGTAAATGCTTCTGCAAGTTCTTTGGAAACAAGTGAATGAACTGGTCAATAGCTTGCAACGCTATGAGATTGGCAGTAACGGGTAAATATGAAGCAAACATGTCAACAAGTACGCCAGGGTCTTTGATTTCGTTTTCAAGAGGCTGAATGGCATCCATGACAGCTTGAAACATCTCGTTATAATCTCGATTGTCTTCTGAACCCCACTGTTCATTTAACTTATCTAACAATTCTAACCTTTGCTTTGCGTATTTTCTACGAACTTTCTCTGAAAGAGGAGTGTCGCTATCTTGTGTGTCTTGAATTTGAGACTTAAATTGTTTGCAAAAGGCGAGATATCGTGTTTGCGACCTAGTGGTCATTGCAGAATGTGTTTCTGTATGTTCGATTGGATGTGTTTCTGTATTTTCGGGTGGTTGTGTTTCTGTATGTTCGATTGGAGTCTGATTGGTATGAACTTCTTCTGAAAATGCTTCTGTTCCGATAGTTGTTGTTGCTTGACCTGTTGGCTGAGCTGTATCTGTTGTGTTTTGAGAAGAAGAACTCAAATTGTTGGACAATTTGTTTGCAATTGTATGAGGAAGTTGCTTTGGTATTATAGGAGGTCGTAAGGGTTTTGAGAATGGTGAGACATAAGTTGTAGGAACTTTAACTGCAGAGGTAGTCGACGAATTGTTTGCAATTGTATGAGGAAGTTGCTTTGGTATTATAGGAGGTTGTAAGGGTTTTGAGAATGGTGAGACATAAGTTGTAGGAACTTTAACTGCAGAGGTAGTCGACGAATTGTTTGCAATTGTATGAGGAAGTTGCTTTGGTATTATAGGAGGTTGTAAGGGTTTTGAGAATGGTGAGACATAAGTTGTAGGAACTTTAACTGCAGAGGTAGTCGACGAATTGTTTGCGACACTTTTTCTTCCTTCCATTAGACAAAAATAAACTGTTTTTTTCGGACTACTCATAGAAAAGTTTAAAATAAACCGTTTTCGTCAACGGAGACCCCTCTATTTTTTATTTTATTTAATAGTTACCGTTGGAAAACCGTTCCATCTCAAATATTGAATGAACTATAAACGTTTTTTGTTTTCTATATATACTTTTTTGTCCAACGGTAAAACTTTTTACACAACGGTTTTTGAGAGTCGTCGCTGTTGACCGAGTAGTTTTTTGTGCTGAACAAAAAGTGTCATATAAACATCTGTCAAAAACCGCTTTTTAACTTCACTTAAAATGCCACGTAAGCTACGTAAGAATATACGTAAGAGGAAGAGAGCATTGAAACATCCAATAGTAAAACTGACACCACAACAACAGTTGCAACAACAAATGCTGAATGACCCCACTATGTTGCAACAAATGTCAAGCAACCCTATGCTTTTAAACCGAGTTATTGGTGCACAGAGTGGAGGTTTAAGAGCGGCACTTTTAGCGAAAATGGCAGGCTATGGTGGAGCTGCAGACGGAACAGCTTATAACCCTCAAAGTCAAATGAATTTGAGTTCACTCAAAAATCAAATAACAGATGTCAAAAAGTCAAACATAGACATACAGAAACAAATAAGTGAAAACGAAAAGAAACTAGAATATGACAGACACACAAAGAAACTCAATGAGTTAAACGTAGAGAAAAAGAAGAAAGAAGAACAACTGAAAGAACTAAGTACAGAGGAATATGCGAAAAAAGTGTCAGAAAAAGCAGCAGAAGTAGCAAAAATGGAACAAGATGTCATAAATTTGAAAAACCATACTACTCAATATAAAATACTGAAAGATGAAGAGATAAAACAAAAAGCCCTGAAGACATATATGGATAGCGATGAGTATAAAAAAGAAGTTGAAGCAAATGTAAAGGCAGAAAAACTTTTACAGTTGCAAAACCAAACCGTACAGTATGAAAACTTAGCACAAGAAAGTAAAAATAACGACGCAGCCATGCAAAAGGCAATGAAAAGCGCAGAATATATAAAAGCTAACAATGACTGGTTAGATGCCCAAGCCAACGCTAAAGCAGCCCAACTCATAGGGTCAATAAGGACAAAAATACAAGCGGATGAAGACAGTTCAAATGAAGCTTTAATGAATGCTGACTTTAAGAACGCCTTCGAAGCTCTTCATAGTAAGGTGAAACAAGTGAACGACTTCTCATCTGGAAAGAAACTGAAGTCTGAAGGTTTCGACAAAGAGTTAAGAGAAGTAGCACAAAATATGACGAAAATAACAGATGCAGCAACGAGACAGGCAGTTCAAAGTGCCTATGACGCCGTTAGAGCAACTGTTGTGAAAAGTCAAGAAAAAGAGTTACAACAGACCAAAACAGACCTAGTAAATGCTTTCTTAAAAACGAAAAGTCAGGTAGGACATTACGCTGCAGATGGAACATATGTGCCAGCTGGTGGAACTTATATACCACCAAACCCTCCAAGAGAAGCACCTGCACCAGGACTACCTAGAACATTTACATCGTCACATGGACACAGACACAGGCATGCACAACAACCAGCACAACAACCACCTCCACAACCAGCACAACAACCAACACAACAACCAGCACAGCAACCAACAGTTCAAAACCCTGCACAACAACAACCACAAACAGAGCAAGGACATAAAAGAAGTAGAGAACAAGGAAACCAAGAATTCTTAAAAATGCTTAAAGAAGAGTGTGGTTTCCCAGATACTGTTGACTTTAGTGACAGATATAAAGAAGCTATTAGAAAGTTCAAGGATGGAAATACTGACCCGAACCTATTTAGCTTTATGGCTCAGCACCAAAACGGATATAATCTCAAACCTGGAAAATACAAGCTCGCTAAGGGATATGATTTAATAGCATATCATCCAAATGACATGGATGAATTTACTCCGAGATATTTGATGTCAGAGCTAAATGACAATTCAACTTTCGTCATGAAACGCGTAAAAAATAGAGACGGAACGAAAGAACAAAAGCTTATGAATGCGGATGACGTAGATAGGGAAATTGTTGAAAACGGTCTCGGAATATATGAAATGCCAGCAGATGAGGTACAAGAAACTCCACAGGAAGAAGTTCAGATACAACCAGACATGGAAGAAATAGTTCAGCAACAACAGCTAGAAGAGCCTGAAGGAAACGAACAAGTCACTCCTTTGGAAACTAACTTCACAGAACTAGATGAAGATTTGGAACAGCCGAAAAATCTTGACCCTCAACAAGAGTATGCGGAGAATATGGAATATTTCCAAGAGTCTAAAAAATTCGGCTGACATAGTAGAAGAATATCGAAAAATGTTTGCCGACATACAAAAGACTCCAACACCAGATGAAAATATTCAGCATAGAATGGAAGTACTGAAAAAAAATGTACACAAATACAACAACCCTTTTTACTTACGAGCATTTAACGTTCAATCTTCGGATGAACTCGGTGAAGATAAAAGGTTAAATTTCAAGAAAACATATAGAAATGAAACATTGTTTAAAGTTCATTCAGAACCTAGCCAATATGGAAACAAACCTACTTTTGTTTCTGCAGACGATGGAACTACAATGAGATGGGGTCATAAAGCTAATCCAGATAGGTGGTTCATAAACTTACAACCACAATTCCAAGAAGTTGTAGACGCAATGGAAGTCAATGGTGAACAGATATAGCTGGTATTTTCAGCGCGGCTTTAATGCCATTGAAAGATATGAAAGATGCAGATATTTTGGACCAGTATGAAATGAACATGGCTGATGGAAATATAACACCTGACGTTCTAGAACATTTATCTCAAAGAACTACACAGAACCATAGAGATGGTATATTTGGTGAAGAGTTTAGAAAGAAAGTTAGGGAGAGAGAAGGAAGAGAACCTATTGTACATGACCTTGCAAACGAAAGTTTACAAAATGTCATAAAAACTTACTTTGCAGACAATGAACGAGAAGGGATGAATATTTAAGAAAACTCAAATGGACAGTACCAAATGAAATGTTAGTATTGAAAAACATGTTCCTTGACAAAATAAAACCAACTACAGAAATAAACGACGCAAGACTGAAAGATTGGGTAAAAGCTTTCCCATTCACAAAAGATATTGTTGGTAACATGGAAAGAAAACCAGAATGGCTACAAAAACATATATTTGGAAACGAGCTTATTCCATATGGACAGGCACTGTTTGAAGAGCTTGAACCTGAAACTCAGGAAAGAGTCATGCAAACAATACGCGAAGACTCAAATACAGACTATGACAAACTCTTTCTAGGATATAGGTTACCTGAGATGGGCGACCAGAGCCAAAAGGCAAAAAGGACATGGGAAATTTGCAACATACTAGATGAACATAATGCAAAGATGCAACAACTTCAAGCAGAGGGCAATGAAGGAAAAAGAAGAGTTAAAAACTCAGTCAGGAAGAAAGTAAAGCTTGGTCCACGTGGGTTCTATTATGACATATAAATCCAACTATTCTATATTTTTACTCATATGAAATGTACGCCGCTCAGAATATAACGCCAACAGTTTTGGATGCATGAATGGAAATGTTTCCGAATGGTATAACGAATGCGACAATGCCATTAGAAGGTCAGAAATAGTTCCTGGAACTTACGAATATACAACTGCTGTTTCTTATGGAAACGTAGGTGAGTTTGGAGAAGGTTCTTCAACAACAGTAGATATTGCTTGCGACAGGTTTCATATAATTTCTATTGACAACTCTTTCTTATACGTGGAACAAGACATTGAAATAAAACCTTCTGCCAAGTTGTCTGACAAGAAAGGTTGCAATGGAATTTTCTATGTCGGATACCAATATGCTCCAGAAGTTTTCATGGGATATAAGATATATTCTAACTCTGACTTAGTTCAAACAGTAACATGGGCAAACTATGAATGGTTCGCTTTGAGAAACTCAGTACAACCACAAGCTAGAGAACAAACAGACCAGTATGCAACTATTGAGAAAATAAGAAGACTTGACCCTAACGTTCCAGGAGTTTATGTTAACCTTTCTGGACAAATGAAGCAGTAACAAAGTAAAACTGAAACTTAGAGTTCCTTTGTCATCTTTCCTCATCTTCAGGTTTTTAAGATACTTGCCAAACTGGGCAGGAAAAATTTCTATCGAACTTACTCCAAGCAAAAATAACTTAGTCATTGCACCAACACAAGACCCATTCACTATTACTGTAGTGGAACGTAAAATGTCATTCGCCGACTTTTGCAAAACAAAGTTGACTTAGACTTTGGTTTCTCAAACCTCAACACTGAAGTAAACTATTATTTCAATGCTGCTGAGATGCTTGGGACCCAGTTAAGTTCACATGCGAAAAATTTGAATGCAAGAGAATAGAAAGCAGACTTGCAGTCTATATGTTGGACCCAGATATTTCAAATGCTTTAGCTGCCAAATATATTGCAGTTCCACTTATGTTCCCTATACACCAAATATCTGTCAAAGACTTTGCAGGTGAAGTTGGAAACCAAAGTGCTGACCCAGGTGCAAGAACAGATATTGCTTTAACAACTGCAATGAAACATGCAGATACTATGTTTGTACTGTTCAGACGAACTATAAATGACTATTCTTGCTTCTACAACCCTGGTATTAAATACCATATAAACATAGATGGCAAATACTATCCAAGAGAAGAATATTCTACAGTTGAGGATATGAGGTCATACAACTTGACATTAGATGCTATGAACTTTAACAACAACTTCACAACAACCATTAACCCTGAAATGCAAAGTTCTATTATGCCATATGTGAAAGTATGGACTCATACAGGAGGTCAAAAAACTCAATATACAAATGGAGACCGTTCAAACTTTTGGCTTGGCATTCCATTTGCTGACTCAGAAGACTTTATGGGTGGTATTTCAACTGTTGGTACAGTTCAAATACAATATACTGGTGACAGAGACGGTCCAGATGAATTGAAAGCAAAGAAGTT